ATTATGCATCCTTGAAAAAAGTGTTTTTTCATAGTTATCAGCTCCAGTTCACTCCCTGTATTCAGGGCTTTGTTTTTGAAAGATACAGGATTAAGAAAATAATGTTTTTTTCCCAATAACTGGCAAAGGCTACTTCCAAAGTAAAACTAGGGTTATGGCAAAGCAAGCAAGTCTTTACACTTGTTACATTTCATAAACACTTCTGACTAAAGAGAGAAGAAGAATGGGGTCAGCAACATATAAGCTTTTTTTCTTGCAATGTATCTACGTTGCAGAAGAAAACAAATGCCAGAAATTAAGAGTCCAGCTCCTCCTTTTCATGCTTCTGTCACCTTCATCTCTTGCCTGCCCCACCCTGTTTTCCTTTTTTTTTTTTTTTTTTTTTTTTTTAAATCTTCACTTTTATTTCCTTGTCCTACCCTTCAGTCAATACCTGTGGAGAAGTATGTTTCACCTTTCACTCAGAGTGCTCAAGTTCAAGTTAACTTGGACTGATAACACCAGCACTAAATTACTGCACTGAAGAAACATTTTTTTTTTTTTTTAATCTGTGTGAATGAGCTCGAGAACTAGGAAGTCACGAGCAAAAAACTTCATGGTAGACATGAACTAGGAGACAAATCTAAAACCTGGGCTCCACATATCACTTCCAAAGTAGCCTCTGTTTGAGAATCAGGAATAGTTACACCTATGACTCCAAACGCAAAACAAGTTTCTCCAATTTAATAGACTTTAATTTAGTCCCCTATCCCCTTCCTACCCCCAAGTTACTCTTGAAAAAATTTCACAAGTGAATTAAAAGGAACACCAGTCTCCACTTTTCAGTCCATATGTTGAAGTAAAACACGGATACACCGACACACACCAGAGTGGAATCACACTTGACATCTCCTTGCAAACAGGGTTGGAAAGAAACTTCAAAATAAATGCTTACAGCCTCATACAACCCTCCTCTCCAAAATCAACACAGCAGGAAAACCAGTAACCACTTCCATCATTGACTGTGCTACACAGCCAGTTACAAGCATCATTGAAAAGATGAAACCAAACCCGCAGCAGTTGGCCTTCAGCATTACAAGAAGAGAGGTAATATTTTTTCATTGAGTCCCACAGGAATACCAACACTGTTGAAGACTATCTCTGAATTTGGCAGCAATACATTCAACGCTGTGCAGCCTAGACAGCATCAAAAATCAATTCAACAAAGTGACGGGAAAACTCCACTGCTGTTGAAGAAGGTCAAAATAAGGATGCACACAGGTCTTACACTCGCATCAAGGCCCTGCTGCATCACGGTGTGCATTCACATTATACAACACACTGCTGAATATTCCATGTCTGCAATAAAACCAATTCAGAGCAGCGGAGTAGGACCTTTCCGGATGAAACTGCTCCTAAGAACCGCATCAGTCAGCTCACCGTGACCTGCACACCATTTTCCAGATATCAGGGAATCATCTCGTTGCCCAGTTACTAACGCACAGCAGCAAAGCTACTTCCCCCCCACCACTCCCTCTCTTATTACTGACGTTTCACAACGTCGTCACACAGACGAGAATAACAGCAACACAACACACCAAAGAAATCCAAAAGCTTAACAACACGCATTCCCTATTTTGGTTCCTCCAGAGAGGGAAGGCTGGAAACTCAGGAACTCTGGTGAGACCTCATTGTGGCCTTCCAGTACTTGAAGGAAGCATATAAACAGGTGGGAGAACGGCTGTTTACGAGGGTGGATAGTGATAAGACAAGGGGGAATAATCTTAAAATGAGACAGGGGAGGTTTAGGTTAGATATTAGGAGGAAGTTTTTCCACACAGAATGTGATGACACACTGGAACAGGTTGCCCAAGGAGGTTGCGGATGCCCCATCCCTGGAGGCATTCAAGGCCAGGCTGGATGTGGCTCTGGGCAGCCTGGTCTGGTGGTTGGTGGCCCTGCACACATAGCAGGGGGTTGAAACTAGATATCACTGTGGTCCTTCTCAACCCAGTCCATTCCATGATTCTATTCTCACGGAACAGGAGGGATCCGTACTTCGCCACGCCGCTGGGCTCCTTCAGAACTTACCGAGGGCTCACTAATTTTAAGAAGCGCGCAGCCGTAGCAAACCACGTTTCCAAGGAAGTATCTCCGCGCCCTCCCTCCCAGCAGCCTCCCTCGGCTTCGACTCCCCACCCACACGACTCCACGAGCCCCTCAGCGAGCTCTGACTCACCAGCGCTCCCGGCAGCGGGAACGCCACGACCCCCCCGCCCCGTAGGCGAGGGATAAGGCCGCAAAGCGCCGCCCGGCCGGACAGCCTCGCGCCTTTCCCGCGCACCAGGCCCGCCGGCCATCCCGGGCGCCGGCAAAGCCCGCGGCCGCCCCTCAGGCCCGGAACCCGCGGGAGGACGGGGCGGGCGGGGAGCGAACCGCACCGCGGCCCCTGGGAGGCCGCGGGAGCGCCGCTGGCGGCGCCGGCCGGGCCCGAAGCACTCACCTCTCTAGGAGAGGAGGCGGCGGCCTGCACGGAGGCGACGTATCTCTCCACCTCGGGCTTCGTGCGCCGGATCATGGCGCCGAGTCCGGCCGTCCGGCCGGTACTCGTCGTCAGTGACCGCGCCGAGTCTCGCCAGGAGAAAGAGGAAGCGGCGGAAGGCCGGCACTCGCACGTTACGCAAGTTCCCGCTCCGCACACGGCGGAACGCCCTCCGCTGCCGATCGCGGCGACGCGGGACGTCACAGCCCCGGGGTGGGGCGGCGCGGCGCACGCGCCGAACGTGCGCATGCGCGGTGCGCGCGGCTGGTGCGCGGCTGGTTGTCGTGGCGGCGGGAATTTGAGCGGCGGAACGTTACGCCGCTCAGCGCGGGATTCCGCGGTGCTGCCGCGCCGTCCTCAGCCTGTCCGCCCTTGAGCGGTCTTAGGAAACTCAGCGCTGCGTGAGGCCGTGCTGAGGCGTTTTTCTCAGCTGTGTCACCGCGACTTGTCCGCGTCATCCGCCAGCCGTCAGGCTTTATTGCTTGAACTCGTAGACGAGTTTCGAGCTGTGTGTTCCAGGCACCGCGAGTACAGAAATAATTGGTTACTCTCAGAAGCGGCGTGTAAGATGGCGAGATGCGCAAACCCAAAAGACGGGGCTTAAAAAGTGATGTTCTGAGTTTTGTGATTCTAAGCACCAGCGCTGCCCGGTGCTTTAATTCCTTCCAGGGAATTCTGGCTGCTGCTTACTGGAGGGGCTGATCTCTTCTGCCGGTTCTAAGCAAAGTAGGGCCACCAAGCTCCAAGTTACGCGAAGTCTCATTCATTAGGAATGAATCACAAATGCACCCCGCCCACCATCGCTAAGCCCCGAGGCTGCTGCTGTACCCAGGAAACACTGACTACCTTGGTAGGAACTGAGCACAGGGCTTGCAGCTGCCAGAGGCAGAAAATCTTTAGGCACAGATCCTTCCCCCTGCAGGTACCTCCACTGGGCTTTCTAAAGTGCTCCGTTAGAGTGCCAGTATTACGGGATAATTCTAGTACATAGATTTTCATTAAAACGGATGTGTTACGAAATCTGTGTGTTGTTCTGCCTTAATCTAACTGGGGGTATTCACGAATCTGGTCACCTCTTCCCTCCTCTTACGGGCGGGAGTGACAGTGCCACATCAATGCAGTTGTTGAACAGTCCAGGAAGAGTGACTGCATCTCCTCCCTGGGCAGCCTGTGCCACCGCTTCACCACTCTTTCTGAAGATGAATTTTTAATAATATCCAACCTGAACCTCCCGTGGTGCAATTTGAGGCCATTCCCTCTCATCCTATCTCTGGGAGAAGAGGCCAACCTTCACTTCGCCCAACTTCCTTTCGGTTCATTGAGGAGAGCGATAAGGTCTTCCCTGAGCCTCCTCTTAACCAGACTGAACAACCCCAGTTCCCTCAGCTGCTCCCCATAAAACCTGTGCTCCAAACCCCTCACAGCTTTGTTGTCTTTCTCTGGACACACTCCAGGGTCTCAGTGTCCTTCTTGTAATAAAATCAGCCTCAAAGCATGTACATCTATTTGAAATACTTACAGTACTGACAGGCCAGGAAGTGAGCTTCAACGCCATACCTGTAATTGTCCAGGCTGCCTAATTGCTAGCTCACTCCCTGGCTCTGTTTTGCACTTCTTTTAATTAATGCTCTTGATGACAATATTCACGGTTATTACTTCAATGATAGTTTACTCCGAAGATGGCTGCTGAGTGAGCAGTGTGAATTTGAGCAACATTCCACTGGGGAAACAAGAAGAATACAGAAAAAAAACTTCACCATGAAGGTCATTAAACACTGGAACTATTGCCCACAGAGGCCTGTGAAATCGTCTCTTCCTTGGAGATGCTCAAAACTTGGCTAGGTAAGACTTCTAGTATTGATGAAGCTTTGAAAGTCACACTTGCCTGGAACAGATGTTTGGACTACCTGACCTGACAGTCCTTTCCTTCTGAAATCTTTATGGGATGCAACAGGCTTTGAAGCCCCAAGACACCCTCGGTGCTATTTGTGGGGTCTGAAACACACACCTGTGTTAATGCCACAGAAACCACTGCCTTGCTGCTACTGCACTATTGCATGGTGTTCACCATCAAGAGCTTGAAAAAACAGCAGAAAACACTGTGTTAGGGCTCCAGGACTGCCACAGAGCCCAGGGGAAACTGATGGCTACACAGCATGAGTGAGGTGAGGATGTAACCTTGTGAGGCTTCCTCCTCTTCTGGGAGGAAGATGTGCTTTTGAACTTATTTTCTTTCAGAAAACCTGGTGACAGTGCCAATCAGAAAATATCCAGAAGAATCAAGCTGTTGGTTATGAAACAAATGATAATTTCTTTTTTAAAGCTAAAAACTAAAGTGTGTATTTTGGACAGGCATATGTCTCCTCTAAGTCAGGACAGTAAAAGAGTTTTACATACACAGTCACAGGTAGAAGCATAGCAAAGGAAGGCTGCCTAGATGCTTTTCCACCCATCTCAAGTACTCACATAAGAGAGGTGATACAGGTTGTAATAACATTAGCCTTTATTAATGACACTGGAAAGATGTTTTAAAGCATTTGGTTTTCCATAAACAGGAAAGGACATTTTTCTTGCTATGATGTAATTATATAAAAATTGTGTTTCTAATATGAAAAAAAAGGTTTGCATACTTGATAACAGTACCATGAAGAATTCCTAAGTAATGGTATTTTTGACAGAAAAGGGAAAAGCAAACTTTCATGGACAGAAGTCAATAGTATAAAGCAATCACAAGCATACTACAGTGAATTCTGACGATTTGTGAGCACAGTTCTTGAAGATGGCTGAAGAAACAGATCCTAGTAGGATCAAACCTCACATATTTACACTCACAGTGTAAAAGTAATATTGCCAGTTAACTCAAATACGCATTTTCATTGCTGTTCCAGAAGTCAGGGAAGCCTAGAAGCTAAACTTCAACCTCAGGCGTTCACACCTGAAACAAAATTCCTCTTACATCCTGCATAATTAAGGCAAATTTTGTTATCTCTTGAAAATACCTCGTACATAGTTTCTGCACAAAAATAAGAAATAAAAATAAAACTATATATATATATTTCATGGAACACTGTTACATATGGTCCAGCAGAATAAGGCACAAAAAGTAAATAAAATGCAAAAGCTTATATAAAAGTTAATGTGTTATTCTGAATGGAATACAGCAAAATTCAAGTAGATCTGAGTATACTCGTTTCTTGCAGTGGGAATTAGACTTCATATAGATATTTCATGCTAAGTCTGATGTACAAAGATTCAGCGTGTAAGTACAAACTATTGGAAGTAGGTCATTTGTATAGTGACTGTATTTAGAAATATGGTACTTTTCAAACCACTTTAAACAAGGCTCCTCAATGGGACTATATGACCTGAAATCTAAGCATTATTTTTTCTGGGAAATGAGGTATGTTTGGTTTCTTGCCCAGGCCACGGGAAATTCTGTATGCATGCTTAATTTGCACACTGATATTTTCATTAATATAAATGACACTACATACCCATAACGTTGGGCATGTTTGTACAGTGTGTTTTTGCAGGTACTTACAAGCATATTTTCTCAATCTCAAATTCCTCAGAGATTACTGCGCGCAATGGCCCACTTGTATCGGTGCATTATCAGGGTCAGAAACCTTTCAGGTGAGTCGACAGAAGCGTGGTCTGTTTATCAACAGATCTGTATTTGTACATGTACTCATAGAATGGAGAATTTCAAGATAAAAGGCATGCATTGTAATCTCTTGTCTGATTACAGCCTCACAGTCCCTCCCAAGTAACAGATATAACATTTTCATAAGGAAAGGGGAGAGCAGAAGAAATCTTCACTTCCTTCCCACAGTTTCAGCTAATTTCTTCAGTCTTTTCTTCAGCTCTAGAGGAAACTTCTCATAGCACTTTTTGCAGACAGGCTTCATATCAAACTCAACAAATTTATTTCTAAAATGACAAAGCAAGAAAACAAAGTTTTAGTGGAAGGGATCCTGGAGAAAATAAAGGTCCTATTAAATGCGCACAGACAAAAAACTGCAACTGCACTTTATACATATGTATGAAATTACTTTCAGAAGCTTATATACATTGCGGACCGTGACTGAAATACTCTGAGTGAGTTATGCCCCTATTTATAACTGTGTCTCTTAAAAAATCTTTCAAACTCAGCTGTATTGCTAAGCAAACCAAGCTTAAGATAATAACAATATTTCAAGTTGCAGTTTTGTGAAAAATATTTGGCTGTGACAGCCATGAACGCATGCAAAAAACTTTATGTAAAAGCATCTGTAGCACTGACCAAAGAAGAAAGGAGCACAGGTGGTGGTGAGAAGAAAAAAAGTTTACAAACAGATGGGCTTTTTCTTTTTCTGCTTCTCTTTCTCCTTCGCTTCACGTTCCCGTTTGGCAAGGCGTCGCTTAAATTCATCTGGCATTTTCTCATAGCAGTGTTTGCAGACAGGTTTTAGATCAATTTCAACAAACTTATCCCTTCAGAGTTAAAGGCAGAAAAAATAAAGGACGAAAAAGGAGAAGAGTTAAGAAGACTGATCTGAAGGAAGAACGGAACAGGCAGCTGAAAGAGATGTAAATTAGTAAATGGAGCAAGAAGAAGGTAAAGGCATATTTTCTCAGTGTTGTTCATATGGCTTTTATACTGTAACAGTTAAACCTACAGCAACATCTAATATTTTAAAGATAACCACTGATATGTTTTAAAGGCATCACACCTATCGATTGACTTACTTGAGTGTTAACTTAGTGTTGCAAGTTGAACAAGCAAAACAGTTCACACACCATGCCTTATTCAGAGCAGACACAACTAGAGCAAGGAAAAAAAAGAAAGAGTAAATCATTAGCATTACCAAAAAAATTAACAGTTGAGCTCAAATATTTGTGAGATGTGAAAAACAATCATTTGAATCTTGTAGCAAGCATTAAGGTCTGCAACAATAATGAGGCAAGACTAGGAAGGTACACCTGGTTGTTGCACAGTGGGACTGTGAAGCAACAATAAAGCTGTCTCGCAGAGGGCATGCAACTCTGCTTTGGTTGTCTTCTTTTTGTTCTGTACCTCAATTTTCAGTTACTCCCCTCTTTCAGTATACCTTCCCACCTTTCCCTGCCAAAAGTTGCTTCTGTTTCCAGCCTCAGATCAAGGATTCTAACTAAGGTTTTAAGGTTCCACGTGGAGCTCTTGGAACTGGTCCAGAGGAGGGCCACTAAGATGATCAGAGGGCTGAAGCACCTCTCCCATGAAGAAAGGTTGAGGGAACTGGGCTTGTTCAGCTAGAGAAGAGAAGGCTCTGGGAGCCTGAGAACCAGAACTTTGTAAAGCCAAACTTCTTTTCCCACATATGGGGCAAGCACATCCACATATGCTTACATTTCTTCCTCTGCTTGCCAAAATAATACTTGTCAAAGGAAAGTCTGCTTACAAGAGATCTCTGTAACGCAGTCTCTTAAAAAACTGCTGCCACAAGTATTTGTTTCACCAGATAGAGAGGAAAAACAAAATTGGATACTCATCATTTGTGATAGCAGCGTCAAATTTGTGTGTAGAAATGAAAGAAGAAATTTAGAATAATTGAGGATGCACAATGAAAATAATTACTACTTTATAATCTGTTCAGTTCAGTGACTGAAATGTACAATATCGAGAGTCAGATTTTATGGCATGACATTCACAACCGACAGAGATGTGATAATCAGACAAGGCTGCATTTACTCATTCACTCCAAGACCCAGTTCTCTTCATTCAGGATCTCAGTGCAGAGGACAGTGCTTCTGGATTGTTGTTTTGCAGGTAGAGTCCAGTCCCAAAGTGGAATGTAGGTCTCACCCTATATTTACATGACTGCGAACTACTTTATGGCTCCTTTTATATACCAGAGGCTTCCTCCCACTTTGAGAATGGCTTTAGCTTAGGTGAGGCTAAGATGTGTGTTACAGTGTTTACTTCAGGCAGGTAGGTGTAGCTAGGAACAAAATAATGTGGCATGACTGCACTTGGAATGATTTGCCTTATGGCATTTTATCACTGATGATAGTCCAAAACAGCCTACAAAGCAATCTCTCCTCCTCAAAATTAAGACGCTTCCAGTTATGCCTTCACAGGACAGATCTTTTCAGGTACAATTCCTTCCCCGTTTTGTGAAATTATCATCAGCCTCTATTTTCAAAAGACAGGTGCCTGTGACTGATAGGTGAATATCTCCAGGAACCAAACTGAAACAATGGAAGCTAGGCACTTAAAAAAAAAAATCCCTCACAAAGCCTACTGAAATTGTTCAGTATCTAAATATTTTTCCAAATCTGTCATGATCCCTAAATTCATTTGAGGAGATGCCTATGTGGTCATTCTCACGGTTGTACGTGTCCCTTTTGAAAGCTGGTGGGGGCAGGAAGCCTCCTCTGCATCTCAGCATCCTTGGGCTTTGGTTATTACTAAAAGGTTTCCAGCTGACCACAGTTCTCTTTAGCTCCTGTTTGACCTTCCATCATCACAAAACATCTGCTGTAAAGTCTTCTTCCCCTTTGGCCTTTGACCAATCACATCTATTTTAGTTTCTGATAGAGAGAATGCTTCTTTGTGGTTTAATGGGAGCAGTGAAGGATTCAACAAAGGACCTTCCTTCCACTTTTAGAAAGAACTTTCATCAGAACATAACATTAAGAAAACAGCTAGAGAACTGCTTACCATCTCCTTCAATCACACGATTGCAATGGAAACATACATCACCAAACAGCTGAAGAGGAAGGAGAAGCAATGAATTTTTAATGTAATGATTTTATTGACAGTAATTTCTCAACTGCATTTCATCGCTTTCCTGTTTATTTCAGTTTAAATAAAGGAGAATGATGGCAAGTCTGATTTGGGTTTCCAATTCAATCTTGCATCATCTTATCATAAAAAGTCTTTATAATATTAAAGATGAAAACATTTCCTTACATCTGCTTGACCCTCTACAAATATGGTTTTGTTTTGCTGTTTCCCTAATTCTGAACATTGGAACATTTGAAATTTAGCAATGAAGAGTCACATACACATTTTAAGTAACCATCCAGCTGAACATTTGTACATCCATTCAACACACAGTTCTTGCTCTATCATGTACTATTGCTAATAATGTCATGGCATTTATTGTCTGCAGGGATGCCAGCAATATTTCAATCACCTGCCCTTAATCGCTGACAGACTTAGGATCTATCTGTAATTAGCAGATGCCTTACAACTCCCAAATGTAATCCTCCTTTTTGTTTATCCAAGCAAAGATGTGTACGTGACACCTAGCATTTCTTCCAAAGAAGAAAGGTCTATCCATTATGGTGCTGGACTGCACAATCAAGGGAGTCTGGAGGGAAATGGTACAACTACATGTACCTTTTCTTTAAATGCAAATGGTCACTAGGTGGTGTCCTCTGACAAATTTTGTCTTTGTTAGTCTTCAGCAAGTGGATGAAAGGGCTGTTTGATGGAGTGTATCTTAACACACAGTCATCTTAGAATTGCAGCTGTAAGGAAGACCACGCTACCCAAAGGCTTTGTGTTAAACCACAGCTCCCGAGTGGCAAATCGTCTTTATGTTCTTGGGAAAACCTGAGTGTCATTAGCTGCTCTGATCTTAGAGACGTGTAAAAGCTTGAAACAGCTCAACATAAGCAACACTAAGCTTGAAGAACAACTAGATTCCAATTAGTCCAGCTATCCTTTATGAATTACCTGCAGTTTTCTTTTTTCAATGCAAAACTTACCTCTAGAGAAACCCATATAAACTGACTGCAGTGGAACACCTACTAGTTAGTTTTATACTCATAGGTGATCATAAGAAAACAGAATCTCTCTAATTTTCCATTTCCCATTAATAAAATCTGTTTATGAGTTTAAAAATTACGATTTTCAAAAACATGCAACCTTACCTGATTGTAGTGGGTTTCACAATATGCCAAGCCTTTTCTCTCATAATGACGATGACCCAGGAATGGCTTTTCACATTTTGCACAAACAAAATGCTATGAAGAAAATTATGGATTTATTTTGGATTTCTTGTAAATAATGGTGGATTTTTTTTTGAAAAAGCAAACAAACAATCCCTATTGAACATGACCAAAGCCTACTGAGTTTGCTGTGCCATCTTGAAAATAAGAATTACAACTATTGTTTTATGCTTTTAGATCACTAAAATAATGTTCCTTTTACTGTCTTTAACATTTCAACCCAAAACTTACAAAAAAAAAAAAAATGCACTGAAGTGATTCTGATATGTTATTAATGACAGAATAAAGTGAGATCAAATAATTTTCACCATGATTACAGTTTGTGAAGAAAGCACTTGCTGGAGGAGAATTTCACAACAAAGACTGCTTCTCTTTGTAACTTAAATGGAAGATAAAGAACTAAATCTCGCACATGGACTTGAAATATGAACTAAACTGCTTTGGAGATATTTACATGGCAAGTAACTGGAAACCACAGGAATATTACAATGCCCATTAGTATTATGTTTGTCACAGAACTTCACTGCCTTTCTATATATCCTGCTTTTCACTTGGTGGCATTTTCTTCTACAAGGACCTTGCAATGCTTCCTTGAACTACTGATTTTAGCTCCGCAAGCAGAAATCTTTTCTCAGTGGGAGATAAGACACATGAAGGTTGAAAATGAGATGAGGAGATCCATTTGCTGACCACTGCTGCATGCTTTTCTAATCCTTTCGTGGAAACTGATAGGCGATATTCCAGTTAAGTATGTTAACGTTTACATTTGTGAAAGACAATATGTCAGCTGATGTTTACCTCCACGTGCCACTGTTTGCCCATGGCATTCACCACACGTCCTTCAATTGGTCTTCTACATGCTCCACAGATGGGGACACCCATTTTGTCATGGCAGGGTAAACAGTATAATTCTCCCTTCAGCTCACGAGCATCAGCAGTAAGTTCCTTCCTGTTCAGAAATTCATTAATTGAGAGCATGAATAAAGGAACTGAACAATTTGAACTCAAGAGCTTCTTTAGAGATAATTTAATTTTTAGCACTTGTTTTAGTAACTATATTTATACTACAATAATGTATTTAGCAGCATCAAATGTGACAGTTCAATATGATTATTTTTTAAACAAGACTGATTGATTCCACAGAAAACTGAGAAAAGCCTGCTAAGTAGGATGCATCAAATCTCTCTGAAAATAGCTACTGAGCTTTTTTCACACAGGTTAGAAAGCTGTAGTCATGCCTGGCTTACATTCTGGCTCTCTTAGCACCAGTATCTTTTAGATATACATTAATGTAACTGAAAGGAAAATGTACTCCTCTGTGTTTTCTCCATGATATCAAACATCAGAGAAAGAAAAATATAAGCTGACAATAGCAGTGGCACAATACCACTTCTGTTTTTCAAATCAGCCTCTGCTATGATCCTGAAATGACAGCTTCCTTTGTACTAAAAAATAAACAACTAATAAAGTATGCTATATCCTACAATGCCCCCTGATCCATGCATCAGTGGGGGATGTAGAAACATGCAGCTACGTATTCTGCAGCTGCAGAAGCTGACAAAATGAGGTCAGAGAAAGCTCAAAAGAAAAACATACTTTGGGCAACTCAACTAAACAGAAAGAACATAGGCAAGATAATGACTGAAGCAGCCAAAGAAGACCACCTTTCTACCCTTTATAGCAGAAAAATAATGTCAATGATTTTGCTGCCATGAGCAAGCTTGTGCCCAGATTTCCTATTTTCTGAGGTGCAAATTAGTCTTTCCTCACTTCCCAACAGATCACCTGTTGTCTGAATGGAAGGTCCAATTCTACCACCGCAAGAGACATAACCAGACACGTCTCTAGTAGCAAGGCACTCAGAACTCATCCCTTTTGCCTTACAGAACTGTTTTCCACTTTAAAATGGAAATGGATGAAGCAAATAAAACCAGCATTCTCCTGTTTTGTGGAACTCAAGTTACCCGCAATTTGCACAGTTGAAATGATCAGGGTGATAAGGATCATTTTTGAAAATGAGAGGCTGTTCGTCAATAATGGCATGGCACTTCTGGCAGATGTACTTTCCCAGGCCTCTGGCTTTTTCCCTGTTATGGCAGGGACGGCAAAGATGTCTGAAACAACATAAAAGAAGACAGGTAAGTACAAGCATCTGTTACTACGGTAAAAAATAGAAATCAAGCATCTAATAGAAACTAGTTTCTATCAGTTCTTTTTTGGAGGAGAATAAAGGCTTTAAAACAATTTCTTTGGTAGGCAAGCCAAGTTCAGAAGAAGGTGTACTATTTTATTTTCTATCACCACAGAAGTATCGTTGGTTCAATTCCTTTCAATTTCATGCTTTACCCTCAAACTCTTAGAAATTTAGATTGGAAGCTGGATGACAAAACAGGCCCTAATTCTGTAAATAATTAGGTATATCACATTAAAAATATGAAATCAATGGCTACATAGTCTACTTAAAAAAATCCATGAAGGATCCCACTGAAGTGAGAGCATTTATTAATGAATAGGGTGATAAACTGGACTCAAATTGGGAACCCATGTTGAAAAATCTATTTAAAAATGACAATACTTCTGCATTTGATTCTTTTCTAAGTGTCTATCACAGTACCCTACTGATCCTGAAACATCACCAGGTACAAAATACACATTTGACAAAAAATCTGGTGTTGAAGTAGATAAGTAGTTAATATTTTATGTGCATAATTTAAGATGTCCACTCTTAGTTTTGTGATGCATTCTTAGACCCTTTTCTCATAAAAGACACTTCAGTTACTCCATCTCAGCAGGAAAGCTTTAGGAACCATAACCACTACATCCCCCCCAGCTTTCATTTCACTTTCATCATGAGCAATGATAGAAGGAAGGGTGAAGACCCACCTGCCAGCATTCTTGACAAATCCAATATCTGCCAATACTTGTTGGCAGATATCACAGCAGAAGCATTCTGGATGCCAACTGTTGTTCATAGCTTTAATAACACGACCAATAATGAACTCACCTATAGGAAACACAGTAACAGGATGTAAAATACCATGCTACACAAAATTAGAAGAAGCCTGCAACCGAATCACTAGAATTACATCATCATTTTTGCTTCTCTTTTCTTCTAAAAAAGGACATTTTGGAATTGTCATTGACACAGTGTTGGCTTCTACTCCGCTAGGTCTATTATCAAGCCTTGAAAGGGCTCCAAATTCAAAGGACAACAGAACTGAGTTTGGGTGGCCTTGACCCTACTGCAAGAAAACTGGAGTCAAAGTACAAAGACACAATAGGAGAATGCACTTACTAAATAGTAAATCCAACACATACCGATTTCTGATCTACCACATAGTCCTGTCCTGTGAGGCACTGAAAAAATGAGAAAACTACCATTCCATGTTCTCTACTGCACAGCCATGCCAAGCATGCACATTGTTCTCTGCATACACATTGCAGCCATGGCCCCTGAGCAGTGCAAACACTGCCTAAAATATGTCAAGAGCTCAGCTTCCTGGTGCTGTGAAAGGCTGAATCCTGGCTCTAAAGAGCCTACAAATCAAACAGCTGTCAAAGAGAAGCGATCAGGCAGATAACAGATATGAATGAAATGAAGTCTAGCATGCAAGTCTGTGGCATTCCCATGAAGTCATAGCTTTTCAAGAATAAAATTACATGGTCTCTAGAAGTGTAGGGAAAGCTTGAGGCATCAGTGCTGACAACAGCCCTGTTGATTTTGGCTACTCTCACTAAATTAAAAAACTGGAAAGGTTCCAGGCAGGATCCATGGAGTGCTGCAGGTAAGTGAGCAGAGTGACCTGGGAGGCAGTCCAGCCAGCCCGTCACACCCTCCAGCAAATTCACTTCAAGTCATCTGTAGGAACAAGTCAGTACATAAAACTGATGAGATTTTAATAGAGTTGGTGCTACGAGGAGTCAGAGTAGAAGCAGCAGAAACTAACGGGCTGTGGCAGCTCGGTAGGAAAAGTCCTGAAGATACATGGTGTAGCTCCTGCATTAACCTGCTAGAGGCCAGAACAGTTTCTGGTCTCTCTGAATGCTGCAGAGGTGAAGTTCCCTCTGCCAAACTCACCAAAGGGAAGCTAGGAGCAGATCAGCAACAGGAGAGGAGCAGAGCTCTGCCATGTATGGACAATGCTGGTATGCAGGAAGAGCTGTGCTTTGTGTTTCAAGGGGTTAGAAAGGAGGATTCACAAAAGTCCTTTCCAGGCCAAGAGCAGTAAAGGAAAAGGGGAAGCTGTGGCACACAAGAGCAGGAAGAAAACAAAGGAGAGAGACTGCAGAGTAACTGGAGGAACACAAAGGTCCCTCACACTTGGGAAGTGACTGGACTGTAGAAGGAACAAAGCAGTTCCCTTATGGTTTGTCACACACTTCAAGTTCACTCAGATATCACCAGTGAGCTCTTCCTCTTCCCCTGCTTGTTCAAATCTGCAGCTGTAAATCTGCTTCCCCTCCTTCCAGCATCCGAGCCCTCCCTCTGCACAAGGGAAAGGCCTTACTAAGATAAGTGAAAGTTGTAACAGCTTGCCCAGGTGCCTCAGAAAAATAAGAGCTTCCAGACCTGGTCAAGCAAGGGTACGGCAATGACTTCTCAACCCCAACCAAGCAAAATGTGTCACACACAGAAAATGTGGTGTAAAAGAAAACTCGCTGTTGATTACAGTGTAGCAGACATGCAAGCATTTACTCAATAGCAGCAAATAAAATGCAGCCCTCAGTGTTACACAGGGTAGACAACAGATGCTGAAGCCTTAAATTTTGTGTCAAAAATAGAAAGCTGGTGATATCACTAGATGATAAAGACTCCTTCTACAGAGGAGGACAACATGGACAGGTTACAATGGTCAAAACAGATTAAGACTTGCGGGAGGGTTTCAGCTGCATGAGAAGGAACATGTGAGTACATGCATGTGGATGCAGAAAATCAGGAGTTCATGAATGGGCTGTTCATTGAGTCACTGGATGAACAGTTAAACTACTCATGCAAATAATGCAACCTTTTTTTTCAAAACCTACTGTTTGATGACCTTTAGGAAAAGCAGCTCCCTAAATTCACTGAAGTTCATTCTGAAAGTTCCTCAGCTGTGTGGTGCCACCTCCCAGAGGAGATACAACAGGGCTGCACATCTTCCCCCAGCAACATATGTTGACTTCCCATTTGTGTTCAGTGTGAAATATTTCACAGGAATGTAAAACTTACCACACTGATGGCAGCAAGGGGCAAAAAGCATTTGAAAATCATGTTCGCAGTACTTCCTCCCCTCAAACTGCAAATGGAAAACAAGGCAGGAGAGGTTAGGAGCATGCCCTTGACAGTATTTACTGTAACACAGCAGGTAGTTTTCACAAGCAACTGAGTAGCAGAGGATAAGGAGCTGCATAATAAGCAAACCAGACCACATGCTAGAAAAACAGGCAAGAAATTCACCCACCGTAATTCAGGTACTGTTATTAATACAACATCATTCCTTTAATACTGCTGAAAGTGTAACCCATCTTCTTTTATATCACAACAGATGCCTGAATTTTGAGAGACTAATGAAAATCTGATGCAGACAGAATTCTATGCAGGAAATTAGCTTTTAAAAACTCTTCCTGGGGGGAAGCATTTTCCCTGAACCTATTTGATCCCTTCCTCACTCTGTGTTTCCTGTAAGAATGGCCCAGCACGCTGGAGGAAGTAAGTCTGGGGGAAGCAAGAACACCCAGCAAAAGAAACCTTCGCAATTCATGGAGCACTGCAGGCAAAACATAAAAAGAAATCATGCTTTTCCTTCACAACGTTTGTTTGAGGAAATTTTAAAGAACAGAATTCTCTAAACTGGCTAGATGGAATAAGGAGCTGATCTGAAGTGAGTCAGAGTTGAATTTTCTCAAAGCTTAGAGAAGTTCAGTTGTAGGTCATGCTCATACAGAAAAAAAAAAAATCTGGAAAAAAAATGGTATGGCACTACATTAGCAGTCTAACTGAGGAATATGTAAGAACATGTAGACAAGTATGTCCTAAAGCCATGGGAAATGTTTAGATACCTTCAGGCACACCACTGGTAGACACAAATGCCAGCTAGCATGTTAAAACCAGACAGATAATATTAGGTATGTTTGGATTTGAATGTCTTAAGTTTAAAAAACTGGAAAGAAGCACAGCAGGAAAACCCCACTCCTTTCTTTGTACTGAATCTAACACAAAACAAAGTAAATAGCGTAACATATTACCCACAAATTAAGTTTTGATGCACGGGTAGAAAATACAGCCGTATGTATCCTTTTGCACTCTGAAATTTCAAGGATCAAATAAAACATAAGTACAGTAATACAGTGCAATATACAGAACCACTGGCAGGATTTCATGCGACCATTTAGAAATCACTGAAAACATGAGATCAGAAACTTAATTTCTGTGCCCAGCCTGAATCTCACCTACACAAGGATCAGAAAGATGCGTGTTCCACTGTCTCTTTCCAGAAGCCTATTCCAGCAATTCATCAAGGGCTTTTAATACTCTTAAAACAGATGACTTTTTAATTGGAAGTAGTGTTTGTGTTGTTTTTTGTTTTTTTTAATGAAGAGACAGAGGTCTATTAGTGTCTCAAAGAGTAATGGTAACTATTAGTTCATTGAGAATGTGCTTACTTCCTGCCAAATGTAATTCTTTTTAAACTGAACAAAAAAACCCACCACCAGAAAGCTTCCAGCCTTGTGTAAACAGCTGGTACATTGGGAGATGCATATGTTTGCTTGGATTTCAGAGCCACAAATTGATCTGGGCAGACCGAACAGGTTTCTGTCAGGCAAGTTGGTTACTATTTGCTTTTATTTATATTTTCAACATTCTTGGCTTGTTTGTGCAGCATTTGTGGATGGTCCAGCAGCTCCTCCATTAGAGAAAGTCTTAAGTTTTTGTGACAAATGACACACCACGGATTTTAAAAGCAAGGTCACTGGACTGTTGTATGGTGGAGGTCCGTTAATTCTATGGTTCTGTGTAGGACATTTCACCACAACATTATCTCCAGCTGATCTCCACATCTTTACTAACCTATGATTTGGAAAGACTTGCACAAATCCTGATTCTTTACAGATGCTTCCTTTAGGGTAGTTTCTGGTAAAGCTCAATGAAAGAAAACACTCCAGGTTGAAATGGAATAGAAATAAATTTGAGAAGTTCACTGCAGTTGCACTTTCCTTTTATTTTGTTATAGGTTATTAGAAACATCTTTAAAAAAAAAAAAAAAAAAAGTAGCTTCATAAGGATTTTGTTGCATTTCTTCTACTGTGGGATGCACTTATCTAAACCCTTCCATCTTCCCTCCCCCAGCACAGCGCAGAGGAGGCTGGCCTTTTTCTGAAACAGTGCAGAGAGATGCCCAAGGGCTCCTGGGAGGCTCATAAGGATCCTAAAAGTTCTTTTAACAAACGGCTGTGCTACAAGTAGTATTCACCTATGTTTGAAAGTGAGGTGCTCACAGTTCCTATTGGGAGAGACTTCTAGGGAGGTCCATTTCTGAAGTCCAGAGTCACAAGGTCTTGAGAAAAAGCCCACTGAGTAATTGCAATGGGGCAAACCAGCCACCAAAGCTGCCCGTGCAAATGGGCTGTTATTCCACTGTCAGTACTGCACTGTGCACTGCTGTCTGTTATCAAACTCTCTGAAGGCAACTGCAGGGAAAGCAGCTTTCTGTCACATTCTGCAGAGATACCAGCTTTTCTTCCTGAGTAGCCTGACCGGTTCTGCCTCACCATGGTGGAGCAGAGCATGAAAACTTATGGCAGCACTTGAGTGCAAATGTGATAAGCGGCTTAATGACTAACTGGGGAAACTCTGCAGTGCTTGCGATATGCACAGGAAGAATATTTAACCTCCCCAAGTCTTTTCCAAGAAACGCTAGCTTACCTGAACTGGGCACAGAATAAACATCATCTAATGCAGGGCTAATAACAATGCATGTGTTTACCCATGGGGAACCTGCTCAGAAAAACACACTACCTGTCCACATCTCCACAAGCATCTTTTTAAAGGGTTCATTAAGCCAGTCCAAGAAAGATATCCTTTCTGCCTAAGAACGATTGAATGTCCTGAATTGAGAGGGACCCACAAGGATCACTCAGTCCATCTCCTGGCTCCACACAGGACCACCCAAAAATCAGACCCTGTGTTTGAGAATGCTGTCCAAATGTTTCCTTCAACTCTGGCAGCTCGGGGACGTAACCACTGCCCTGGGCAGCCTGTTCCACGCCCACCCCCATCAGTCTCTCTGCTCTGGGCTTAACAAACCAAGGGGTCTCAGCTGTTTCTCACACATCTTGCCCTACAAACCCTTCCCCATTTTTTTAGCCTTTTTTTGGATGCTCTCTAATAGTTTTACGTCCATTTTATGTTGTGTGCCCAAAACTGCACACAGTAATCAAAGTGAGACCACACTAGCACTAAGTAGAGTGAGCAACTGCCCTCTCCAGTCACTGTTTCCTCACAGAGATAACAGATCACCCCAGTTACTCATTACCAGCCATCTCCTGAGCATTGGCCAACCTAAGCTTACCCTTTATCTGCTTAGGGCTGTTCCTGTTCTTCTCTCTCCCCTAAATGCTCTCAGCTGCTATATTCCCAACTCACATGCTGAGGTGCTAAACCACACTGCATGAAAGAAGAGCAAGCTTGCCTCCACTTCTCCATGAGCAACACAGAAACTGTGCCAAGGTTCCAAGGCCAGATTCCACTGCAATCTCAGTGACCACTTCAGTGCTAAATGAAAGCTGTGTAGGCAGCATGGAATATCTGGAGAGTGCAGAGGACTCTGTCAAACATTTCCAACCCGCCCAAAAGGCACACGGGCTAGCACAGTATGGACATTCACTATGTAGAAGATGTCAAGCACAAGCCAATATAAATGTGGGTGGAAGGCTGGGTGATATTTATGAACCATCTTCTGATGCTTGTCAGAGCACTTACAGAGACTGGAAAGTACCTCTCTTCAACAGCAGCAGACAGACTTGCTGATATAGAGAGAAACTGCAAGACCTTGTGGTAGCCATTAGAAGGATTTGAGGCAGAAAAACGGCCTCAAGTTCAAGCCTCACACAAGTCTTTGGATATTCTCCTATCCTTGATAATCACTTTTTTTTAACTGAAACTTTCCACTTTCTGTGTAACATTTCTCAAGAACAAAGTCACTGCAAGCCTCAACTTATCCTGAAAAAAAACAATTAGCAACTTCAAACAAAAACATATCCGATAAGTACACTAGCCTTCTTTTATTCCCAAAACAATCATTGAGCATTCACTTCTGACTTAATGAATACAAACGTTAACAGTGTAACTAAATACTATTAGATCTCTTGCCCCTGCCAAATAGGTCACACAGCTATGGTCACTGATGAGCAACAGAAAGGTTGTAATATTCCTTGACCAAGTGCAAACATAAGACTTTTTCTTCATTGCAGCCCTCCTCTATCTGTCCTCTAGGAGATACAGACTGTCTCAAAAGACCATTCTACTTTCTGAAAGAAGTCCATGGATTGTCCCACTGTTATTTGAGAATCAGAAAAATGATGAATAAAGTGCTCACTATTCAGAGAAAATACATTTTATTCTTTTAAGACAGTTTTATCAACAAATGTTTTACTTTTAAAATGTGTGTATCACTTCACATTTGACTCCAATCTTAGCATGTCAGGGCAGACTCTTTACCATGCCTGCAAGCAGGGAGCAACTCATATAATACTAACAATAATAATGCAAGGTGTAAGTATCTAAGGGGTGTTTTGTTTTGTCTTTTCTTAATTGCTACTGTTCTGCAGCCCACCTTTTGATGTGTCATGGACCACTGCTGGCTCATTTGCCTCAAATTGTGCAACATTATCTCTACTGCATTGAAAAACCTTTTGATCCTCAAGCAAGGTGAGAGAAAGCAGGACCAGGAATCCCCTTTGCCAGCCTCTTCTTCCAAGGAACACTGCTCACCCAGTCTCCTTCTCCAAACTATATAGCATGACTCTGTATAATTAAAAACACAACTGTGGAAAATGAAATGTGCTCTTGACACAACGATGGCACTGCATGTGAAGTGGGTTAGAACAGGATTTTCAGAAGCAACTAAACATTTGATAATTTTGAGGACTCTACCTTTGATCTGTTTGAGCCTCAGCTAGCTTCAGGTAATAATAATGATAATAATCAGGTAAATAATAATGATAAAACCCTGTATCCCATGATCTACCCTTCCTTACACCCATGGTTAAAGAAAGGTGAGTGGGGTATATTAAACTCTGGGTTTACCTGACTCAGGCCTCACCTGATTTTGGTTGTCAACACATCTTGAACTCAGCATGCTGGCTTACAGCTCATCTCTACAAACAATATTTCAGAAACTGTGCAGGCCTCACTCACTCACTCAGCAATAAATCTCCTAAAGACTGCAGGATGCAGGGATTTCCCTTTGATGACTCTCTTCTAAGAAGAATGCTTTCCCTGTATTTCTGATGATATATATATAGTCTACAGATTTTAAGGAAAAAAAATACACACAGGGAGAGAAATCTCCAATAGTTCTTTTCTCAGCCCTAGCAAGACTAAGTTACACACTTAAATAAGGTTATACACACTAATATCCTCCGAACAAGCACAGAAACATTTCTTCTTTTTTCTCCCCTCTACCAGGTATAATCTTTTGGAACTCCATTTCTTCAACAACACTTGCTAAGGTATCGATCAGTCTGTAGTTACTTCTCCCAGCTTACCTCATAGAAGAGCCCTTCAGGAAACTGCTGGAAGCACTGGGCACACACGAAGCACTGCTCGTGGTACAGCTCACCATTGCTGTTGACAATTTTCTCTGCTGGTGCAAAGCCCCCTCTACAGCGCTCACAGATGGCATTTGCGAGTGCGTTTGCCATGTTGCTGTTATAAAAACAAGAAACAGAAAGAAAATGAGCCTCAAAGGCAGCACAACTGATTCTGGTTCTCTATTTTTTCCCAAAGCCAATGGCATCAGCCTAACGCTAGGCTGCCCACTGAAAACTTTTCCATGAACTCAATGACTTGTGGTGCTCCCTTAGAAATAAAACTGTTGTTTCCCTCTGGCTCCAAATGCTTTGGAAATAAAAACCCCACGATCTGCTCTAATAACTATTGATTACTGTTACAGATGCATTTGCTGCCTCTTTATGATGAGAAAAGACAGGTAATTCGAAGAAGTAATATAAAAAGTCATGGAACACATTAGAATTACAGAAAATAAGGGCAAATGTTAGCAGTAATTGAGGACTTCACACTAGAAAATATAAGTGTTAATTCTAAAATAATTCATAATTCTAGAATACGAGAATTCTAGAATATGAGAGTATAACAACATTAATTCAAAAGCTCTAAACAAGCAATGTGGAAGAGCTTAAGATATTTTGTCTGGCAGATTACTAAAAACCACAGCAGGTAAACAATCAAATCTGTAAAATCACTTCAAGCCATATACAACTTGTAGAAATAACAGTTTAAAGTCATAGGATTTTCAGCTGGTTTGTTAGGGTTCATCTCCATAAAAGCAGATCACAGCACCCCAGCACCAGACCAAGGGCAAGGAGAAGGTAGGAATGCTCTGGCTGCAGTGCTGGGGTGCTCCACCATGACCCAGGCATAGGGCAACACAAACTGGTGATGCAAAAAAAAAGAAAAGCTCAAATAGCAATCTTGGTTGCTTCTCAAAGGCATGTGACAATAGAATGAGTGTGATAGCTGCAAAATATCAGGGGGATTGCAACTTCCCTAGGATTGTGTTCACATGTCAGTACAGCTGTCTTACACTTAATTAAGACTCTAGTACCAAAAAAGGGTCACTTATTTGTCCTTTGCAAGTGCTTTCTTACTAATACTTGGGGTCTCAAGGCTATGCCTTTCAGGGTCACTTCTCTGCCCTAACATCACTTGATAGCAGAAAGCAAGTACAGGGCAGTGGTCTAGTTTCATACAATCTGACCACAACTGACAAAAGCACTGCTGCAAATATTTGTCTGGACGCTTACTGGGACATTATTTTACACACGGGCACAGATTTGGATATAGTAAAGAAATCTCCTGCTGCATTAGCCAGTGTGGAGTGCAGGGTCCTGTGTAAGATGCCAAGACTTGCAGGGGACTATTGAGACTATTGAGGGGATAACACCTCTTGGCTCCCTTCAGGCTCGACAGGAAGTGAATTCAGACCTTGCACAACATTTGAGTTAGCAAGTATACACCTACCACATAGCTCCAAAAGGAATGAGCTTTATCTATTTCTTACACTGTACCACAGAAGAGCCCTACACAAGGTCACATCTGACCAGTTATTATTAGCTGTCTCTTATTTCTCTCTCAGGAGCACTCTGCAGAAGACAACTCTGCCATCAAAATACTCACTTGTCCTTACAGCAAAACAGTGAGTGGCCAAATTTCACAAAGGAGGTCAGACTGAGAAATGGTCCATTTCATACTTAAGAGATCAACATATTGAAAAACGGCAGTGATTATATGTATGAAGTGTAGTTAAGCATACATTGAGCCAATGGTCTACATGGATTACACACGTTTTCCGTAGGGGGAAAAAAGCCAGACACTTCACCCATCCTCTGAGTTAATCAGAATGAGCAGTAATCACAACATAAACCATGAGCCTCACCATCACCTCACCAGTTTCTGAGGTATAACTTATAAGTTATTTAATGCTAAGTGCTGTCAGAGAAAAAATGTAATCCAAGTAAAAACACGTATGTAAAAACAGTGATGCATGCAACAGTCCTGCATTAGTGAAACAGTCTGCACGTTTGCCCAAAACAAGCAAACAATCTGAAGTCAGAGACTACTTGGCAAATGCCAACCCTGCTTCAACCCCCGATAAAAACTTCTGATGCAATTACTGGCTAAATTCACAGCACCAGCTCAAATTTTAGTTGATGATTACAACTGGCAACGTATCAAACACAGAACTGTGGTAAAGGCTGCCTTAGAGAATGGCTTACAGAGCCCAGATGGTAAAAAACACGGCGACGGTATGCCAATAATGTCACTGCAGTTACAGCCCAGAGCTGAACAGCATGGACTTACAATTTTGCGTAGAAGTCACAAAACTCTTTGTAGAGTTTAATGTCACTGTGCCTACGCTGCAGTTTCGACACTGGTTTCTCGCCTTCATTTCCCGCTGAGTTGTAGGCATTGTGAGAGACCCTGTGAGCAATCTCTTCATCCTCTGGTATCGCGTAGGGGTGACCTCTGTGCTGGAAGTCCATGTTTCTCTAGCTGCTATCACGGGTATATATATATTCTGTGCTTATATCGCGAGGGAGCTGGAGGCAAAGGCAGCAGAACAATGTGCCGGGCTTCTCCTTGTTCCCAAACGAAGTGACTGACTTTCAGCAGCTCTGTGTCACTGAGCCAGAGCTACCCAGCACCCTGCCAGAGCTTCAAGTTAAAAGCTGGGCTGCGGAGGAGCACATTCCAGCACCAGGCTGTCATGCACACCCAGATGCTGGAAAGGGGCTTTGCTGCTGGCTGCTGATGGAGAAATCCTCTTGGGCCTGGAGAGCTGTTTTGTGAGCAACCTATGTGAGCCAACATGTTCCTCAGCAAACTTGTCTGCAGCTCCTGTTAGCTGAGGGGATGGAGGTGGATTCCAACAGTGCTTTGTCATGGCCTAAACAGCACGAAGAGGAGGTTTCTATCATTAGGTAAATATTGTTTCATGCTTGGATATAATAATTACACTGTAAAAATGGCCTTTAATGCTCCACTTATATCTTCTAAGTCATATGCTGCATTTATCTATAGACATCTTCCTTCTTGTCAGCACTTCACAGAAAGCGTAGATACAGAGGGACAGTTTGTTTTCTGTTTTGCCTCACAGACTGTTAACTGAAGTGCCAAGTATGCTATTATAGGCAGCAGATGAAGGAAATGAAATGGAGCTTGATTTTCAGCACTGTGCTGTGTTTAGAACAATCACCTAACACAAGGGTGCTCCATAGATTTGAATGCTGTAGTAAGAAATCAAGACGAGGAAGAAAGAAGCAAGAGTAAAAATTAATCATTCTTTCACCACAGAAAGCCCTCCCAGTGTTGCAATTATTTTATAGTTATATTCTCTTCAAAAACCTGTCGTGCATTCCTTACTGGGAATGGTATCACCACCTGCAGGTTTGCCCTCCTGCAAACTCCACCTTGCTTGGGACAGGCAGCTTCCAGGAACGTGTAACACCAAACAAAACCGAAAAGGGCTTCTAGAAAACAGTCCTGGGTAACTAGCTTTTGCATGAAATGGACACAACTTTGTTAGCAATCAATCAGGCAGCAAAGGCACGTGCATTTTGTGCTCGTGACACACAGCATGTTGGTATCCAGAGAAATTTCAGGGAGCAAAAGAAAGTGGAGAAGGACAGGAAGAAGGGTAGAGGGAACAAGCAGAGAAATCAGAAATAGAAGACATCGAAGGATGTGTCAGAAATCCCAGTCAAGGCTACTACTTGTTCATATGCTTCCAGCACCTAAAAAACCTAAGAAATTCACTCTTGAGCCTTGAGTGAGCTCTGGACCATATGCCTCAGCACTGGCTGGGGTAACTGAATGAGTGCCCAGCAGACGACATGCTGTTCTCAGTACAAACCTGGGCTCACAAATTGCCGTCTTCTCATGGCCTGGCCAATGCAGTGCTACAGATTTTCTTCTGGAAATCAAAAGCAAGCAAGTCAGATTTCAGAAATGGGTTTGGTCAGAGGTTTTCCTTTAAATCCCCTTGGTGGCTTCCAAGCAAGCTGCTCCTGTGTGTCAGAAGACATTGTAGCAGGTGGGGCCAAGGAAGCATGACCTGTGTGTTTATGTACCCGCAGGTCTGATTATCCATCTTAGAATCACCGAGAGCTGCAGGTTTTAACAGGCCAAGGAGGCTGGAGCTCAAGTCCTATATTTATCTGCTGTGGGGCAAGCTCTAGACGAAGCAGTGCTTGGGTCATAGCTATAGGCCATGATGACCTTCCCGGAGCACCGCTGAGGGAAGCAGTGATGGAGAGAAAGGCTTCTCCTTTTGCTGTAGCACCCACGTCTTCTGTGCTCACTGAGGTGCCTGCTGGCACAAGCAGACTTGTTCTGCAGACCTCTGGCACTGCTGCCAACAGAGTTACTCCTTACTCCTTCCCCGTGAGGGAAGAAAGGAGCTTGCCAGGAGTTTAAAAAGGGCCTTCCGGCTACCAAAACAAAACACAGTTTCTACTGGGATGGTCTGGTAATCCACAAATGCAGAGTAGCTGATCATCCTTCTCTTTTTTTTTTTTTTTGTCACTTTGCTGCTATGATCTACACCAGGCTGACTAAGACCCTTTGTATCTTCACCAGTAGCTCAGGGTAACCCCAAGGTGCCATGGACCAGGGAGTGAGGAGTCACCAGGCCAGGAAGGGCTGCTGGCATTCCCCGAGGTTGCATCAAGACCTACCTGCCTTGGTAGGGAGAGCAAGGAGGTCAGAGTTGAATTGGAGGAGGTAAGTAGGGAGGAGGGTGACAGAGTGGCTCCCATTGGCACATGGGGGTCTCTGCAGATGCCAAAGCTGATGGCTGAGGAGGCAATGAGAGAAAGAGGCAGAGAGAGGAGGGGAAGCATACCACTGCTGCTGTGAAAAACAGTAGGAAAATCAGATGTATCGCTTTGTGGTTTCTCTGATTCCACCAGGAAAAACTGCTTTCTCAGGAGAACTTTCCTGGCTGCCCACTGGTGCCAGCGAACAGGGACTCTTACAGAGAAGGCTGGGAGGCTGCGAGCCCTGCCGAGTGCCTCACTCTATTCCCCAAATAGAAGTGCTCAGCAGTCACTGCTCCAAACAAGGTGCTTGGCAAAGGCAGCTGCTGCTTGGCAGTCTGCCCAGTGCCCCGAAATAACGCTGCCGGC